AGGTCATACGGACAATCCATACCTAGCACTGTGAACTTCTCTTTACAAGAGAAGTCACTAAAACTGAAGGCGAGTTCAACTTAAACTCCCTCTGATTTAACGAGCGCGCCGTTCGCTAAACGAACGATCGCTTCTTCTCGCTTGCCATCTTGGCAAAGCGACTTATAACTCGCCGGACTCTTTTTCAGAGCCGCAAGTTTCACAAAGTTTTGTGATGCACCCGAACCAACAAGAAGGGTCATCACCTGGCCATATCCTCGTACTCGAGCGCTATGGACCAAAAGGGTTGAGGTCCGACCTTTCGGAACCTCAGGGACTATGCTACCCATTTGTTCGATCACTCTGAACTTAGGGGTAGTTTCAGAGTCCGCGACAGTAGGGCATCCCGCCCCTACTGCGCTCCGCATTTCCCGACCCCCCTCCCTTGGACAGGTGCTGAACCCGTGCGTCGTGCACGCTGGTTTTTCGCACCTCCCTTCGGATTGGGAGACCTTTTCCTGGCTGCCTTAGCACCAGCAGCTACCTTGGCGTAGCAGCGAGCCATCATATGGCCTCGCTTGCCGCACTTGTAGCAGATCACATCTGCATTGCCTAACTCCATAGGAGTGGCATCAGACTTCTCGGTCGACGGCCCGTAATAGGCTGTCGCCGAGGCGCTGTTGTAGGATTTCTTCTCAACTAAGGCAATGTCAATTGCCTCTTCCATCGTCACTGGCACCTTTCTAAAAAGGGCCTGACGCGATGGGCCGTGCCTAAGTCCATTCATAAACATGGCCACCTTGATACGTTCCGGTATCGGTTCCCCATTAATGGAAGCCGACAGCGAACGCATCTCCTGCACAAATTCTTGCAGAGAGCGTTTCGCCTGTCGTTCTCCAAAGAAGCGCGCCATAAGCAACACTTCGTTGTTAGGCGGCTGATACATGGCGCGAATCTTTGTTTTAAAGATCGCCCATGATGTAAATGCATCAGCATTTGCAATCAGCGCAGAGTATGCCCACTCTGACGCTTTGCCACGCAAGTTGGACATGGCATACGACCATTCTAGTGTCGTCTTCGATGAGCTGCGCCACTCCACATTGCTCCACTGCTAATAGCCAGTGAACAATCGTGTGAGGCTAGTTCCATCGAACTTCGGAGGGTCCATCCGAATGGGCCTCGGTTGAGCAGGTCGGGCAGAGAGCGTCTCAACAGCTCTGTTGAGCGCCTCGTTCCGAGCTTGCTCACGCAAAAACTCATCCTGAGTCTTACTGATGGACTCAGCGGTGGCTTGGCTGTTTACCTCGGACGCGTTTCTACGCTGTCCGAGCACAAACGCCTCAAATTGCTCCAACTGAGCAATATGTTGCTCAGGAGGACAATGCAAGAGATTGACCAGGCCTTGTTCACCAAGTCCCTGCGCCATATGCTCTGCCAACTCCCTATGATGTTGAAAGAGGTGAGGGAAGTCACTCCAGTCCATATTAAGGACCATCTTAACCACACGCACGCTCAGAGAGACGGGTCGTGGGAAGGACTACTAGTACTACCAAGTGTAGACGGGTACTTCTACGAAGTTGCCTCGTGCTACTTAGCACACACCTTCAGCACAAGCGAGGAAGTGGTTAGACCATCTTATTTTCGGGTGCGAGGGTGGTTAGGAGGTTGGTCGGCTGCTTAAGCAGTCGTACCACCAGTTGCCTCTCGCTTAAGCGAGAGTTCAACGAACTTCTAAAACAAGAAGGCACCGACGTCACGTAGAAGCTTTTTCAGCTTCTCGTGCGTGGTGCTTCGGTGTTAGCAAATTCAAGACTGATTTATATTCAATAGATTTTTACTAAATATACATCTAACTACTGATTGGTTGATATGTAATGATGGGTGCCATCTCTATAGATGCGCATCCCAACGTGCGAGCTTAAATGTATTCAAGCTCGCTCAATGACGTAACTGACTGACGTCATTTGATGACACCTAGTCCCAGCTGGGCGTCATCCCCATCAATGTGAATACACCTAGTGTATATCACATACGCAAGGGTGTGACACATGGTGTGTCTCACCCGAGCAACAGGCCTTAAGTACTTACTTACCTTTTTAGACCTGCCCGTTAAGTATCTCAAACTTAACGGGTACGTGTAACGTTGAGCCCGTTACAGCTATGCTAACGAATCTCGAGTCATCAGGTAAATTGTGGGCCTACGATACCCCAGATCTAACCTTGAAGGTCCACAGTTGTCGCCAAATTTATAACCACTTGCCTAGCGTCACTTTCTTGCGGTCGAGCTGACAGTAATATTTTAGAAACTTCGATAATCTTGTCAACATCATGGACTACAGTAATGCAGGCTTTAAAGTTCAGACTATTTTTTTAAACTACAGATGGACGATATTCTTGTAGGTACCAGTACTACTTGATGGCAAATTATGCGGTACTTAGACAACGCAGTTGAAACAGGAGAGCTTACAACTGTGAATTAGGTCGTATATACTTGCAACGTACAAAGACGACTGGCGACAGCAACTCAGCTCACAACAAGCGTCGAGAATAGAATATTAATTTTCAACGTAATCATGCTGCAAGCCGTGTTGTTCACTGTGGCAGTATTCGAGATGCCGCCATGAACAGAGCAACAGCTAAAGAACCTTCAACGAGCCACGTGCTGGTAGAGCATTTTCTCTACCAGCACGTGGCTTAGTCGCCATAAGATCACTAAATTGTTGATCCGCACCAGATCGGGATCGCTAGTCGATCCGCGATCCGTGCTAGATCAAGATCCATTGTAGAGGGGTTACAGTAGTACACGCCTAAACGCGCGTAGAAGTTGGTCTGGACTTTATACTCAAGACGCAGCGAGTAAAGCATGCCGAACCCTGGCTCACCCAACGCAAATACGTCGATTACTGGCCTGGCAGGCATGGACTTTTCGCGGAACAATGTAGGACTGGTTAACAGGAGTATCTCTCGCGTGAAGAGAGAGGATGGCTCAATAAGGTTCGCAGGACCCCCCCCCTTAAAAACACTATGCAGCAGTTGATCGGACCTTTGCTGTTACGAACACTACCGGACTCTGAGAATAGGCAGCAGTACACAACGGAGCTCAAAAGCTTGGCATCGAAGGTGATTGATCAGCTGGAGGAATGAGTGAGTTTTTATTGACCGTTTCGTCACTCACCCCGGGCTATGACACCAGAGAAGGAAGCAGTCTGGCTCGCGTACTCTTTGGCCGATAACTCACGACATGTGGATTAGCAAGGAAACGTTTAAACGCCATGGAGAGACGACACGTTTCAACCCTGCACGATGGCGGATATGCAACTGCATCGGATTGGAGATCGACGTAATTATTCGTCATTCCGACGGTAGGCGTAGCCACGCATCAACATGCCAAGCTGTGACGATGGGGCCTAACAATTTGCTGAGCGCAACTAGCGTAGCTGTGGGTGGAGGGTCTCAAGCACAAAAAGATCTACACTTGGTCCACCCCGTGCAACTGACACAGACCTACACATGAAGCAAGACAGCGATGAGAGAACAAGTTGCCGCGAGCAACATCGAGGATCATCAGGCGGTTGCCGACAGCTAGAGGCTCCGAAAGAGCCACGATGCAGGTGGAGTCGTATTCTATGCGAATTCACTCATCCACGGGTTCTCATGGAGCATGCCGAACACTATCGCAAACAAACGTACTATTACATTTGGATAAACAACTGTTTCGTCGGTACAAAGGCTCGGAAAGTACGCTGACACGAACGCTGGAGACGCTCCAGGAGGAAGTGCGTGGCAGACTGCTTTATGACGGACGCTAACCAATATTTGGGTTTATAGGAAGGAGGTCACCACGTACCACGTTTGGGTCGCCTATAGAGTGGCAGTGAGGCAGCTAAATCTCTTCCATCCAAATCGAGGACAAGATAACAGTTGCCGCAAGCTCCAATGCTGCCGAGCATGTCCAGGATATGTGTTGGAGTGAGAGAAACACTGCAACACATATCCTGGACATGCTCGTGCGCGCAAGCCTGTTGGCAGAAGCTCATCTGCTACTGGACAGGAGAGCGATGGGAGCTTGGACGCCTATAGTGCTTCTTTGAGCTACTGAACAGGAGAGCGATGGGAGCTTGGACGCCTATAGTGCTTCTTTGTGCTACTGGACAGGAGAGCGATGGGAGCTTGGACGCCTATAGTGCTTCTTTGCAAACAGTGCAAGCAGACGAGCGCCAGGACTATCCAAGGTGGTGCAGGAACAGCTCACCAGATACTACCCAGACGCGGTGGCCGCATAGTGCCGCCGTGTGGAAACGCATATGGCACAATCTGAGCATCTCCTGCATCACTAGCATATGGATACAACGCAAACGAGTAACGTTTCAGCAAGTGGGCGTGATCATCGCCGGCAGCGTTCAGGAATTTTGGAAAACCAGTATCAGGCAACTTTGAGTCGTAGCAAGGCAAGATTACCGGCGAATCGACACAATGTACAAGGAACCCGTCTGATGCTATGTCAACCCGACAGACAATCCCGAGAGCCATCACCGCAGGTGACATGGCCCGTACAACCACCGGACTCGAACACAGGCTTAGGATGTACTAGACCTCCTGCAACCACTAAAGGTTCAATAGACTCGTCTACCCCTCTCTCGAACCTTTTCATTCATGATACCCGCCCGAAGTCAGCAGTTTCAGACCGGGAAGACCTTTTCAGGCACACGATGTCTTCTTGGATGGTGATCGGCATTGACATGTCCAGTCTGTACAGGACGAGCAAATGTATAAAGCCATCGAAAATCTGGTTCCGGTAAAGCTAAGAGGTACTTCTTAAGAGTTATAACCAAGCGTCTAATAGTAGTAAATTGGCTATGATCAGCACTTGTACGAGTGTAGGCTATGCGATGTAGATTAGCGTTTGCTTCGGATAGCTCTTTCTATCGATCGCACGTGTTTGTTGTTTAGAGCAGCTAGCAGCTTCCATTCTAAATTCTAAGTTGTCTTCACCACATCGATTTAAACAGAAGAGCACTAGCATGGGATCACAATGCGGTTCAGCTATACCAGACAAGCGTGAGATTCCACTTTGTCTGTCTTACGTTAGTAAAACGTCACAAGTTAAGAATCCTGAAAATGAAATCATGAGCTACTCATTTTCAAGTACACCCGAACCAGTCAAGCTTGAAGGTGGTGCTCTTCGTGCGGGAGTCGTACCAAGTTTTCTAAGCCTGGAAGGCTTTGGATTACTCTCTCAATATGCTATCATTGGCCTTAACTATGGTCTACTACCAGCCACAATCTACCCTTTGTTGCAACAATATCTGAACGCCACGGGCTCTCAAGTCACCACGGCATCAACTTTAGTCATCATGCCATGGAGTTTTAAAGCTTTTTACGGCATCTTGTCCGACTGTGTGCCTATTTGCGGCTACCGTCGAAAATCCTGGATGCTTCTCGGTTGGATCATTTGTTTGTCAATGTTGCTGGTAATGGCAACGTCATCGCCTGGTGATCCCTATTATCAAGTTTCGTCCGACCGTACTATTAAACCATCTGATTACACTCCCGAGATTCGGGCCCGTATTAACTTCGACGCTGGCAATCAAGCTGGAAAGTATGTCATGCTCATGTTTTTTGTGGCAGTCGGCTATGTTGTTGCAGTTGTATGTACTGATAGTGTTGTCGTCGACATTGCTCAACGTGAACCGATGGACCGACGAGGTAAGACTCAGACAATTGTTTACAGTGTCCGTACAATGTTTGTTATTATCGGGCAACTACTTGTTGGGTTCTGTTTAAATGGAGACGAGTATGGAGGTGATTTCAATTTCTCCCTTAGCTTCCCAGAGCTAATGGCCATTGTCGCGGCAATGTCTTCACCCATTCTACCGATCACATGGTTTTTTGTCAAGGAAGAGAAGAAGCCGAGAATTGCCTTCAAACAATACATGATCGATCTGTGGGAGCTTCTCCAGAAACGCGCCGTGTTCCAAGTCATTATCTACCAGTTCTTCCAATGTATGTTTTCCAGCATCTCGTACACCGCTAGTTCGCCCGTGCAGTCGTATATGGTTGGCGTTACTCCTATCAACAACACAATCAGTGAGATCTTTAGTAACGCACTCTTTATGGGCGGTATCATGGTTACATCGAAGTGGGGTCTGAACTGGAACTGGCGAAAGATGATCCTCTTTACAGGTGCATTCGTCATCCTTGTAGATGGCATCGCGACCTTTCTTACGATTTGGAATATCTTTCGTAGTCAATGGTTCTGGCTAGGTCTACCGATGGCTGTACATCTCCCGTTGGGTGTTGGATGGATGGTTAGCGACTTTGTGATCGTCGAGCTATCTGGCGTCGGCAATGAAGGTGCGATCTTCGGCCTTCTCACGATGGTCGGCAATCTTGCGGCTCCATTTGCCCAGGCTTTGACGCTGGTGCTCGATCAGCCGTTCAACCTTACCACGGCTCGTATCCAGGAAGACGACAACTCGATCCGAACCGACCTCACCTATGCGGTGTTAATCATGTATGGCATGACAATTATCTCCTGGTCGTTCTTAGTATTCCTTCCACGTCAAAAGGAAGAGACTCAGGAGATACTTCGTACAGGTGGCAGCAGTAAAATGATGGGCGTTTTTACTATTATCTACGTTTCAATCGCGTTCGTGTGGGCACTGATGACCAACATCATGGCCATGTTCGAATCGACATCGTGCCTTGTTATTGCCGGTGGCAAAGGCTGCTAATTTGATAAATGTTGTCAAGTCAGCACTTCAATGGATATCTTACGGGAACGAAAGAAGCTCTGACACTTACAATTTACCATTACCATAAGAATCCTTGAGACTGAGGCTGAACACTATCAACTAAATTGTTCATGTGTATTGTGTTTCGATAGGATGAGACATTGTGTTTCTTATGGAAGATGTTTGTCTTTCGCATAGGAAAGCTATCAAATAGCCAAAGCGAAAGCCAGACTGTTACATGAAACGTGGAAGAGGACTAAAGTTGACAGTAGGGAAGGCAGCTACAAATTGCACAAGTTTGTGTTTGATCAAGTATTTCATGGTATGGACTGCTATACCCTTTCGACTACAAAACACATCATGTCAAAGCTAGAAAACTGCTTCATGTTGTACAGTCTTAGCAGCCGCTACCACCGGCTATTATTAAACATGACGTGCTGTGGAATATGGCCATGATGTTGGTCATGACAGACCAGACAAACGCAAACGTGAGATAGGCTACAGTAATCGCACCCATCATCTTGCTGCTGCCACCAGTACGCAAGAGCGCTTGCGTCTCTTCCTTCTGACGAGGTAGAAATATCAGGAAGATCCAGGAGAAAACCGTCATCGCGTACATAATGATCACCACGTATGTAATGTCCATACGAATTGATTTGTCGTCGGTCTGAATGCGCTCCGTGGTCAGGTTAAATGGCTGATCAATCAGTAGGGTCATGGCTGTAGCAAACGGCAGCGCCAAGTTGGACACCATGGTGATCAACCCATAGACGACTCCTTCGTTACCGGTGCCAGAAAGCTCGACGACCAAAAAACTAGATACTACAAAGCTATCTCCGTACGGAAGCTGCGCTGCAATAGGCATACCGAACCAGAACCATTGACTACGCACTACGTCCCAGATCGTAACAAAGGCGGTGACGCCGTCAACAACTGTGACAAGGGCACCAGTGAAGACGACCATCCAGCGCCAGTCCCATTGCTGGCCCCAGCTTGACGGAACCATGAATAGAATGGTGCCCAATATGTTGTTTATCGAGGCATTGAGTGGAGTGAAACCCACCAGGTACGATTGCACGGGGGAGCTGGCCGTATATGAGATCTGCGACAACATACTGTGAAAGAAAGTGAACAAGATAACTTGGTACACCACTCGTTTCTGAATTAATTCCCATAGCTCTCGTATGTAGAGCATGAAATTCACACGCGGTTTCGTCTCTTCCTTGATAAAGAACCAAGTCATTGGGATAACCGGTACCAGTAGGACGGCAAGAATTATCATGAGCTGGGAAAAAGTGAGCGAAAAGCCAAAGTCGCCTCCATACTCTTCACCGTTAAAGCATAAGCCAGTCAGAAGCTGGCCGGTAATGACAAAGACTGTGCGTACGGCATACATGGCCGATTGGGTCTTGCCGCGTGACTCGAGCGGCTCACCTTGCGCGAATTCCACCACGATACTATCGGCACAGACGTCTGCCAATACGTAGCCCACACCAGCAAAACACATGAGCATAACATACTTGGTAGCTTGTGAAGCTGCTGTAGAATTGATGCGGGCTTTGATCTCAGGCGTGTAATCAGCCGGCTTGATGTCACGATCAGCAGACACTGTGTAGTACGGGTCTCCCGCCGGCATGCAAGCCATAATGATCAACATGCTCAAACAAATGATCCACCCAATTACCATCCATGGTCGACGACGATATCCCCACAATGGAACACAGTCGGACAAGATCCCGTAGAAACATTTGAAACTCCACGGTAGAAATAGCAGAGTGTCTGCTGTTATCATTTGAGGACCCGATACATTGAAATAGTTCTGTAAGAACGGGTAGGTCGTGGATGGTAATACACCGTAAATGAGACCGATGGCAGCATACTGAACCAATAGACCCACGCAGTCTTTACTCAGGAGATTGGGGGCACTACCCTCACGCAAAGCTCCCCCGTTAGTACCCGACGATATAGGCGACTTTTGCTCCTCAAAGTGGTTTTCACTTTCCAAGTCCATGGACTGCACCGTGTCACTTGACAAGGACACTCGATCGATGATGTCGCCTTTGTCCATTTTGATGTTGTGGGGAGGGAGAGCCGAAGAAACAGGAATGATCCGTTCAGATTGTCCTCATTGCAGACATAGAGACAAAGTGTTTACAGCTTGCAAATACCGATGGCTCTGTATGGTAAAGACGATGATAACGACAATGGATCGTTTACCGAGCATAAGCATGGGTCGTGTGCGATTTGCAATAGGATGGTCCGAGAGAATCGATGGGGATAAGCTCGCCGCTTATACCGGACTATGGGTGAATGTAATGAATTGAACTACGATCACTGGTCTGACCATTGCGACAAATACCATCGACATGATCTTCTCATGAACGACATGCACTCAGCTGACACGATTGCTTGGAGCTTATTTGTACGCTGCAACACGGTCAAGAAAGTTAATATGGACAAGTGAATCATATACTATGATACATGCCCCCCATGACTTCATCAACTTCACGTCGTTTGTGTCCTTGCAGTTGCGTGCAAAGCATTTTATAACACGATGAAACAATGACCGGTCTTGTTCACTGGGTGTGGATTGTGCGATTACTTCCGGAACGAATGGATGCCTAACGATTGGTCGTCCAGTACTTGACAATGTAACAGTGTATATGAATTAAGTCGTTTGTTCCTTGCGACCCCATGACATGTGGCGTTGTAGCTACAGGGTACAAATAACACCGCAAACAAACCACTTAGTTGTCCAGCCACCTCATCCTATCTATACATGACAGAGACGCTCTCACCTCGGTGTTGTCAAAGTCCGCTATCTCCCTCAGTGTCGCAACAATTAGAGGCGTAAAACTCTCCACCCGTTGTATTGCATGGCAGGTACTACTTTTGATATGCTGCGGAGCTACACCTGTCCAGGCCAGATATTCTTCAAGTGTGTCTTGTACCATTCGCGCCATGTACCCGCGGGCCTCCTGCTGCTCCTCAAGATCATTGTTATCTATGCCTCGAGTGAGAGCCGTAAACAACACTTGAAGGTACTGCTGCTTGCCCATTACTTCTTGCAATAAAACAAACTAGGGAGCTCAGTAGATGATGGCATTGTCCTACCATAGCGCCATCCAACGCGCTGCAGATAACGCCGTAGTGGCACCGCATCGTTAACCTTGTGTGCAAATACGAAGCTCTCACGTAGACAAGATAAGAGCGAGCGAGCATGACCGACGCTAATTGACAGATTGTCCCTGCGACGGCTGACAAGCACATTTCCTGCTAATCGCTGCAAAGCCAATAGAACAGCCAAGTGGGTGCGTGACGGTTTTCGCTGGGCTTTTACCTCTTCAGCGCTGATCACCTTTGGTGGAAAGCTTGTAGCAAACATGAAACCCAAAGTCACCACGACCCCTGAATACATACCCAGAAGTGAAGGTTCGTGAGGTGACATGACGACAGATGCTGCCGTTGATGAAGATAACGATGACCTTTGCAGCTTTGAAGGGCTTTTGCCACAAGAATCGATGTGAGGTTCAAGAATTTCAGCTTCCTCTTCTTTTTTCTTCACGAGGCAAGGCAAAGAATATCCACGTTGGTTCGGCATGCTTCATAATTTTGCGCAGTTCATCAACAATGATACCCCAAACACCCGTGGGAAATTGATGTCCATGTGTGACCAACATGGCCTCGAACGCACGTGGTGACGCTACTAAAGGACATCTTAAAGATCAAACTCCACAGACCAGATGAAAACTTCTTGCCGTGAGTCTCATAACGCGTTAAAGAGCGCTTCCAGTGCTGCGAGACGCACGTCTAGACGACGGTCAGCAGCAAGCGTCGATAGAGCTGAGAGCACAGACCACCACGCCGCTTTCACGATACTTGTCCTCCTCCGATGCCTCTATAAAACTAGCTCTTTCACGAGTCGATAATGCAGTAGAAACAGCGTTGATACCTGCTTGTATACCTCTTCTTCTAGTGAACATATAGAAATTGTGTTGATAATGCACTGAAGCTGGCGACTCAACGCCATTAGCGTACGAGTATTAAGGATACGGATGTAAGAAAGGATATAGATTGGAGATTGTATGCAATGTGACACAAGTTTTACTGCCATATAATGCAGATCAATGCTGGAATTTAGTGTAGTGATCAGGTTGAGAGATAGATATCTCGATACGTGAATTAACACATCTATTTTAAAGTAAATAAAGATAAAATAGAGCAAGGGAGCTCTATTGGTCAGTAGAAATAGTGGTCTATTTCTATTGGCAATCTGATAGAAAAAACCTTGCTAAATACATATCTTCTCCCTGGTATCACAATACATTATTGGCGGGAAAACTCACTTGAACCATGAACTACAGTGGTGGCTATGAGGCGTATGGCAACGACGACTACGCTAGCAATAATGGTGGAGGTGGTTTCATGTCAAGCCAGCCTACAAATAGTCAATCAACCCCATCAAAACGTAGTGGTGGCATTGTCCAGAGTATTTTACCCGTTAGTATCAAGCAATTGCAAACATTGGGCACCACTTCAATGGATGATGATGCACTTCGTCTGGATGGTCAAGAAGTTTCAACTGTGCGACTTGTGGGATTACTTACGAATTTAACGCCACATTCGACAAGTCTTCGATTTCAATTGGACGACGGGTCAGGATCTTTTGAGTGTCATTACTTTATAACAGGCGATGAATCGGATCTTAGTGAAGGAGAAATGTCTCGATTAAGAGAAGGCAGTTACGTCCGAGTAGTTGGAAAACTTCGAACATTTCAGGGAAAAGCCAGTTTATCCTGTTTCAATGTGACGATGGTCGAGGATATGAATGAACTTACGTACCACCTTCTTGAGGTCATTTATGTGCATTGTTACAACACGAAAGGGCCGCTGAATAATGGCAAAGCGGATGTCAATATGACGTCATTTAATACACCTACTAAGGCCCCATCAGGAAAGCAATGGAATCAACCAAATACAGGAGGATTTGGAGCTGGAAATATGGACTACGGATTGATCGACTCGAACTTTTCAACGGAACAAAAGGCAATTCTCGACGTTTTGGGTACGTGCACGAGTGACCATGGACTCAAGATTGACCAGATTTATGCTGATTTGCGTGGACAAATGACTGAAGTGCAGCTTCACAGTGCACTCAACTATCTTACGAGTGAAGGACATGTGTACTCTACAATCGACGAGGACCATTTCAAACGCACAGCGTAGAGCTTTAGGAGTCAAAGAGCAGTAGTCTGCCCTCGTACATTTTTTTCTCAAACTAATGGTTAATCTCAATATCGTCGTTCTTTTTTTCTATCTCGATCTACATGGAGGTAGCTCCACAAGCTGTTTGTTCATTCTATGATATACATGTCCTCCCTTCATCATTTTTCATCACTATCTTGTCACACCAAGTCAAAGTCGTCTAGGTCACCATGAAAGAACGTGTGCTTAATTGTCTCGTAAACTCCAAAACAAATACCAGTGGTAGGCATGATCGACACAATACGACAACATGCACCACGCCATAAAACACCGGGTCCTTCATTGCTTATTGACTTGACAAAACAGTCACGCAGTCCACTGTACTTTTTGTTCTTGCCTTGTGTCATGAGTCGTACCGTAATGACATCCAACGGGTTCGTCAAGAATGCAGCCACTCCACCTGCCACAGAACCAAGAGCTAGTGATTCAGCCGAATTCAATGATCGTTCCACATGATTCGTAGCCAAATGCTGCTGGTATCTGTGTTTCAACTTCTCGTAAAATAGAAACGAAAAGGCTGAAAAGAACGTATCTACACTCAGACAAGCCGAGTAGCCAGAATATAGTCCTCGTAGTCCCTCCGACCTTAAAATTGACTTGGCTGCATGTGCTGTACCTCTATAATTCTGAGTATATTTCACAACACCTCCACTGGCATTGCAAGGATTGCATCCAAGTTGTAATCGTGACTTAATCACTTCTGATGGTACACTGACTGCTGAAATGATCACTTCACTTGTAGCTCCAGCAAGAAAGTAAACCATACCACGATGCTCTTCTGGTACCAATGGAGCGGCTGTGGCTTTCAGTGTCTCGTATGTACCGAAATACATGGCAGCACACACTGGAGATGCCAATAATGTCGTGCTCATGCCACTAAAGTAGCCACGTACACCCTCTTCGTTGAGAATAGTCTTGATAGAGCGCATTATGCCACTGTATTTGGTACTAGGATATTGCTGAATCTTCATACGTAGATTAATAACTTCCAAAGGATGTAGCATTGTATCAGCAACGATACCGGCAATGGCACCTGAGCACAATGCACGTACAGCGGGAGATACAACGGATACAGCGGATACGGCAGTCGCAGTTGGACGTGTGGAGCCTGTGGATTGTATTGTATTGCATGTCATATTACCAGGAAGAAGAGTTTAATGGAGCTGCTGATGTCGGAGCTTTGTCGACCACAGGTTGGGTGTTAAATGAGCTCCAAAATAATACTGTCACATATGATATATGATAGAAATCGATACATAGGTTTCATTTGATTCAACAGGGACTTACAGTATAAACTATATAGCGAATATGAAAGATAATATTCAAACATAACAAGAAAATTAAGAAACAATGTGCTTTAAAACACAAGTATCCAACCTTAACTATTTCTGAGATAAAGTTAAGCTGGTCAGATAATAGTACTCGCTACTAAATCGATAAAAGTATACATGGCTGGCTCTTGCTATTACCACATATATCTTAAATAGGTGTCTCACTCTATATAAAGGACTTTAATGCATTTGCGATATAAGATGCACGCATCACCGACCACGATAAGCATCGAATCAACAGCAAGCGGTCCAATTTTGAGAATGTACTGTATTGCAATCTCGCTTGAAAGGCTTTATTATTAATAGTAAGTTAATGCTAAAGCCTTTCATGCAACGCTACGTACCCGTGGTCTGCGCAAGCATAACTCAAATAGTGTCAGCTGCAATAATGGCCTACACTAATAGCTTAACTGCATGCCTTTTCTAAAGTTTGAAGTAAAAGGGCATTGAACAATGTCGATGTGAGTAGCCAGCTATTTGAAAGGCTTCTTATTTCGACAGAGATGGCTACATGAAACCTTACCATGCAGCGCTAGACGATAAGGTGTATCAATAAGCTTTGAAACAGTTACAGTAGAACCAGTCTAAATTAAACCTTCGTAACATATTAACCTCCATAATTGAGCTGGCTGGCTTGGTCGCGAGCACTTACTACAGTAGTAATTATCTCATACCTGTCTTAAATGATAAACGTAATATATTTCGAGAGCTCTTTGGTAACGCCTCATTTAATAAAAGCTATTGCAGTTAACGGAGCCCAAGTTTTATTCGAGATCTAAGATAGTTTCCCGTCAAATCCGCTTAAAAAATTTCTGATTATCGGAATGATGGTACATGATTCCAAAAGAGGTTTCGTATATTATCCGAGTCTCCAGTGTCGCATTTAAAAATAAGTGACAATATCACGATAAGAAGGCGAAGAAGAAGCAGAGGCACATCGTGACCACAACGCAGTGAAGAAGGCAGAAACCTTAGCAGGCTCGGCAATTGTAAGCAAGTGCTGTAGCGCGTGTGACGCTTTTTATTCAGCCTTAAAAAAGCGTTTTTTGCCATATAAAGTGTTTTTTTTCTACGTCCGGGGGAAATTGTCTCGTTGGACCAGGACAATGCTTGAAAAGACAGGAAACGAAGTTTCAGTATGGAGAGCAGAGGCAGGACAATATGAGGAAGATCGAGTGCGCATAACAGACGGTCGAAGGGAAGAAGAGAAGGAAACAAGTGAGAAGTGGCAGAATATCAGCGGTCTAGGGCCACCGCCGCCCTGTCCGACGTTATGGCGACAGAAGGCCACAGATTTTACAGCTGAGCGGGAGAAAAAACGGGCAGTTTTACTCGGACGGAGAGACCTAGTGTCAAGTCGGACAAGAATAAAGAGGAGGTTGCATACGGACCGGTGTCTGTTGGTGACTATTTCTTCTCTATAGGAGAGAAGAAATAGTGCAACTGTAGTATAAAGTGGAGGCGGTTTTTGCTTTAATTAGCAGAAGAGGCAACTGAGATGGGTATGAGCAACCACTAGCTTTATGGTAACCTCGAGTCAGCAGCAAGAAGAAACACGCTCGGGATCTATCGTGTATAAATAATATGAAGGAACTTTGTCGGTCCCTTTGAACGACCTCCAGGATCCAAGGCTTAAAATATTAAAAATAATATATCAAAATAAAAATATTATAATGTTGTTTTTCGGTACAAGTATTGACAAATAAACAATTATCAACTCTTTTTACCTATAATGAAGACGACTTGTCTGATAAAATCCTCACTTCTGTTGCAATTTGTTATTAAGTTGCTGCAACGCTTATTTCTTCTTATCTTGGTACAATAACTGACGTTTTTACTTGCCACTTTTCATTCCAATTGCCTCGATAAGGCACTAAGAGTGTAGCAAAAGTTGGTCGTAAAAGGCGATTGGTCTTGTTCCGAGCTACAACGTCTCGTATAATGTACCAGACTCGCTGTTTTGAGTGCTATGATGTTTCTATTCTTATACATTCACTTATAATCTATTAACTAGATACTTGCATTTAAAGTGAAGAGGACGTTGAACTAGTCTTTGCTACCGCGTTGAATCGTCCGACATGGTCCATAGCTCTATAAGTCAAATGTAACCTGAAGGTAGAACGTAATATCGCTATTGTAAGGATGCCATTGAAGACAGTGGTGGGACCGAACAGAAGTATATGCGTGCGTCAAATAGTTGAAATGTCATATTATCATCGTGCACAACGTTCTCGTGGTGAAGCAATCATGTAGCTTCGAGTGAGACTAGAATCAGCAAGGAGCTATATGATTAACGATGTCGACTTACATTGTATAAGAACGTAGCACTTTCAAAGGTGCAATTTGCTGTGACGCGTAGTGTAGCATTGTCACCAACCTTCAATAGTGGTAGAGCACGAATGTCTATACAGAGATCAGCGAGAAAACGAGAGTTGGTCCGACACTGAGTGAAAAGCTTGAAGAGATGCAGATCAAAGCCACAAAATCTTAATCCCTAGTTGTTGCAAGTGCATAAAGAGCACTTCCCAATTCGCGCCTTCGAGCAACACCGGCCAAGAGACGAAGACCTCCTAAGAGACGGTCAACCGGCCCCCTCTGACCAGGGCGGGAAGTCCCTCCAACGGGAGGCCTAGGATATAGAGGGGGGAGGTTTTCCCTCTGCTGCGTGCGCTATGGGGGGCAAGCGCAGCGTGCGAACCGTAAGGGGAGCACCAACCCTGTCACCCCCGGGGGGAGAGGATCGACGACCGCGGTTATCATTTTCTCTTTCCCCGATAATTCCTGCTATTCTAAGTCAGCCTTTAAGCCGCCGACTCGATCGCCGAGCGCGAATCCCGGTCCCACGAAGTATAATTGCCAAGAACGTGAATTGATCGGCCCCGTCCAGGTGCATCAGCGGTCGATCGGGACTGATCGGTGTGGTGCCCGGCGCTTGTTGCGATCATTGAGCCACTGTTTTCACCTCGGACTGGATAACCGATTCCACGTGCCCTTTTCGGAGTGTCCCCCGTGACGCCCGACGTCTCGAGCCAGGAGATTGAGCCAGCGAGGCGAAGAATGACGAAGTCCTGGTAGAAGCACTCCAGACATCTTACCAATCATTAATGTTTGAAATAGACGCCTAAAAGTGCATAGAGAGCCAGCGATACATTACATCGTGAGATTATTGTTCATCCTTATAGTCTTTCATTCAATTTAAGACGTAAACTAAGAGAACAATCGTCAAGTAGTAGTGGTTCCACTGCCACTGACCTCTTCACAATCGAACGCTTTTAACATACACGTGCATGCATACTGGTCGAATGATATCACCCTTCAAACTTTACACCTATCGCCACGCGTCATAAGACGAAAATAGCGTTGCCCCATTCTTAGCTTACATCTTGACAATCGTGGCTTTAGTCTGCGCAGGAGAGCTGAACTTGTCGAAAGTTAAAGTTGTAAAGGTGTCGCGCTTTCTGTTCCGTCTCTTCTTAGTGATGGTAGTGTAGGCAACAGCAGCCAAAGCGGCAACGCATACAGCGGCTAATACCCCAATCAACACGAAAAGCGAAGAGCTGGTGCCAGATTCTTCGCCCTTTGGCCGCGTATTGACTTCTTTGTCGTTCTCCTCCCGAATCGATACACTCGACAACTCTGTGGGTACTTCCACCGTACCGGCCTGGTAATTGGTGCTACTTGACTTGAGAGTGTCAAAGTCATTTTTACCATTCGTGGGGCAGCTGACGAATTTCCAGTCGAACGTGTACGGCGACGGCTTATCACTACCCGTTACTTTCTTAAATACCCCATTCGACAAGTCCAATCCTTTGTCCTTGCAATCGCTGCATTGGCCCACGATGTAAGCCGTCACGGGCGGAGATGTATCACTGCATCGGTTGTCTGTGCAGACGACTTCAACGCATTTGACACAGTTAAGTGTCACGTTCCATTGGGCACTGTTCAAAGCGACGTAATTGTCACCAATGCCGGCGTTGCATGCGTCAGCTGCGGTCTGCCCCACAACGCTTACCGTTCCTTCACCAGTGAAGATACTGTCCACGTCAGAGTCTGCAAGAACTAGAACGGGAAGTGCGGTCGCTAATAGCCAAAACTGTTGAAACATCATTTAGCACTTTATCTTTCGACTTGTCAACCTAAAATGAAGTCTTCGTATGTGCAAAGAGAGAGAAGTGAACAGTTCGACGACGTGACAAAAATAAGGTCGGAGGTCCGAGAGCAAATCGAACACATGAACTTCACTATCATACATATGTGGAGGAGAGCATCGTGTTGAACAGCAGTAATGTCCGTTCAGTTGTGTTGCAAGTGCACATTGTCTTTTCTCCAGTACAAGGTCGTTGGTATGCAGAAACAAGAGTACGATAAGTAGCGTACTCTTGTGCCTGCATAGCAACGACCTGAGATCAGCACTAATTGTACACATGTTATAGATCTTGGCAACAACGCTAGTTGTAAAGCTTATACATGTAGTAGCTCCTGGCAACGATACTAATTGTTTAGTTGCAACGCTGCTTATAAGTTCGTGGTGGCCTTCCCGGCGTTTACTCAACACTTTTCATTAGTTTACATCTTAGCAATGGAGCTTCGGAGCATTGCAGGAGAGCTGGAGGTACTGATGGGGCTAGTGAAGGAACGACGTTCTTCAGCCGAATTATTCCTCTTGGTCGCATAGGCAATGGCACCCGCGACGATGCTACCCAAAGCAGCCAATACCACGGGAGCAACTAGTAAAGCTTGATCTGACGAAGATGCCGCGGCCATCGTGTTAACATGCATCGTGTCATCCGCTGGACCTACGTGCCCTGGCTTATAGTTACTGTCCAATGTGAAAGTGTCGAAGTTGTTGCTGTTTAGAGCAGTGTGTCTAAAGTTTGAGGTGCCAGCGGTACACTTACCGGCGGTAAGTGACAACTTGTCCGTGATAACTTCACCTGAGATCGAAATGAGCTCGATGACTACTGCCGACATATCGACGTTCGATCCGCCCTTTAGCAGGAAGTAGTAGCCCGAGTCTAGCATGGTCACGTCTTGGTTGTTAATTCTCATTTTTGCTACTCCAGTGATGAAATTAGCTGGTTGCACAGCAAGCCACGAACTGTTGCTGAGACTGTTAACACAGTACTCAATGTTGCCACGCACGGGGCAGTCGATGAACTGCCATTTGATGTTGTTTCTGTGTGAGTCGCCGTTTAAACGCTGCAAGACTGTTGAAGACAGACCGAGATCCTCCATCTCGCACTCCAAACACTCGTCTACGATGTAAACCGTGGTGGCGATAGTTGTATCACCGCTCGAAACTTGGGCGCATCGGCCACAGTTGTGTGTGGAGGCCCACTGTTCACTATTAATCGCAGCATAGTAGTCGCCGACCGCGGGATCGTACATAAAGCTACATGTACCAGCTGAGAACACCCCAAGGGTGTACGGTGTACTGTGACCGGAATAAACTGTGTTGTCAATTGCGAAGACCAGTGCAGGGATCACCGCTAACGACGTTAGCAACCACAATTGATAGCACATGAGTTCCGAATAGACTGATATCGATGCTTGATTCGTGCGTGTAAGAGCTGCGACCAGAGTGAGCTCAGTCAAGGACAGTCAGTTACGATATTGCGACAAATCGAACGTGTAATGTGCCAATCTACCTTCCCGTCCGACACATGTTGAGTCTATCCCCATTATATCGCACGATGTAAGACTACGATTTACTAATTGAATGATAACATCTATAAGAGGGGGAGGTTTTCCCTCTGCTGCGTGCGCTATGGGGGGCAAGCGCAGCGTGCGAACCGTAAGGGGAGCACCAACCCTGTCACCCCCGGGGGGAGAGGATCGATGACCGCGGTTATCATTCCCTCTTTCCCCAATAGTTCCTGCTATTCTACGTCAGCCTTCAAGACGCCGATTCGATCGCTGAGCGCGAATCTCGGTCCCACGAAGTGAACTTGCCAAGAACGTGAATTGATCGGCCCCGTCCAGGTGCATCAGCGGTCGATCGGGACTGATCGGTGTGGTGCCCGGCGCTTGTTGCGATCATTGAGCCACTGTTTACACCTCGGGCTGGATACCCGATTCCACGTGCCCTTTTCGGAGTGTCCCCCGTGACGCCCGACGTCTCGAGCCAGCAGATTGAGCCAGCGAGGCGAAGAATGACGAAGTCCTGGTAGAAGCACTCCAGATATCTTACCAATCCTTAATGTTTGAAATAGACGGTCTGTTCTTCTCTTCTCTGAATGATAACATCGATGTGGCAACAGGTTGTTAAATTGCTTAAGGCTGAGCTCCAATCTCATGACGCAAATTCTGCTTATAATGATGTTTGGAATCCCAACGTTTTCGTTTTAAATTTCCGTTGGCTTGGACTCGTTGTTACGTCTCGCTTCGGTTGTGGCGATAGGGTTCATCAAATCGCCAAGTGGCCGAATACTTGAAATCTTGGAACTCAATGAGCGAGTACCAACTTAATTGCTCGGAGAAAGAGCATGACGGTACGGCTCGATTGCAGCTGTGTAACGGCTTGAGCTGATATCCAGTGGTTGTTACACCTAATTGTTGGATGCGATGCCGCGATAAGGTTCTCATTCTTAACGTGCAAGTAGCGACACTCGAGAAATGAAGATTACGGTGTGTTTCGCAGACATGCGGCTCCAATTTCGTATAATTGAGAGCGTCCTTGTAAACGCATGTCTGATTCAAAACGACGATAGAAAAAGTCTCGTCGAAGAACTGTAAACATCTTCTGGAAAACCGAATCTAGCTTCAGCTTCGAGTCACCATCGATGTCACGATATGACAGATGCGTCATGGAGTTTAGTCAAAGGAAGGAGCTGCAAAAAAGTGTGATTTACATCGTTCACGCAACAGTACGCGAGCAAGATCGATCAGTGCGTGTGATAAATACTTTATTAAGTTAGTTCCACGGTGAAGCCTTGCTGCATTCGGACCGTACTGCACTGTGGCACTTTTGGCTGTAGATTGTTGTATTCAATCAACGTCAGCACTGGAAGATAGCAGCCATAGCTTGCCGCATATTCTTGCGCGTGGATACGCTGCTATGATGCAAATCGCGATGGGAATCGAAGCTTCGAATTGATCAAACGTGACGAGTTGCTGGTCTGCGATGCTCACGAACTTTCATGTTTATTGAAGCAAATACTTTTTGCAAGCAGTTAGTTTAAGGTTCAGTTTAGACGCTGTTTAAACAACTTCGTGCCTGTCGTAAAGAGGATCAATAGTTCCTGACAGCGTTTGACGCAAGGTCTTCGGAGAAATGACAAGTGTTGTTGCTAGAACACACACTTTAATCTCGGAATACTTCTTAATAGAAAGCAGACACATTGCTTTGGTAATCAGTCGACTCGCGACTGTTACGCACCTTATTCAAATGGCACTTGATCTCAGTAAAAACTTATCGGATACGTGCTGGCTGCAAAGTGTATTTGTCCTTAAGATTTAGTACCCGCATGATATAAATTTAGAATTATCATCATATGTAAGATCATGCCCGCAAATTTCTATAACTAGCTGATATTACAGGTTTATATCGTTACATATGAAACTTAGCCATTTATGTTCTACAGACGTTCCAAATTTAGTTAATAAGTTTAGTAATGCAGCTAAATTTGTACATTATTCGTAAATATATATAATCAAAAATAATGAGAAAATTGTCAAATTAAATATATTTTTGCAGTCAAATTGAGCAAAAAAATATATCTCAGACTTGTTAAATGCGAATATCCTGTCATAGCGAAGAGTGCATGGTAAGCTTCTTCTCAACCGTACATCCAGTTGCCTTCCTTCCACCCATATTGTCTTCAATATCGCCCAAGGTTGCAATTTTCAGTAGTCTTGAATGGTTCTTAAATGTGCGTGATATTCACTGCAACTTCCAATCCACCCCAACGGACGTAAAATTCTAATGTGGTAGAAGTTGTGCTTTCGACAATTAATTGCAATTCCTTTTCCGTGCTTCTTTCTCCTATGTGTGCTTTGTACGCTTATATATACATTATAGGACTAGCACCTCTCCTTCCCAGAGGTCGGCAACTTCCGCCAAGCAAAGCGCGATGAACTCGATCCAAAGTGTCCACAAAACCGCCCATATCGACTAAAGAAACAGTTTATATGAAAGAAAGAGCATCCGCGGTCACAGTTTCGTGACATCACAGCCGCTGCTGCTGCTAAGCAGCGTACACAGGCGGTTACTGAACTGGACCACCTGATCGGAGGTGATCGTAAGGCATCCACGGCAGATCAGGAAATGGACACTCCTTAAGTTCTTCTACGTCTTCGAATCCATCCAAGGGTACAGCTCTAGCGGTGGCTCAATCTCAAGTGGCGGTCGCACAACGTACAGTCGAGCTACTGACTTCAACTACCGCAGAGAAGAAGATCAATGCCGACAATAAAAAAAGCTTGCTACTTCGAGGCTCACGCTCATGCGCTAGAATTGGATATTGATCGTGAAGGTACAGGTCTCGACTTTATTACTGCTCTCGACGATGCAAATAAAGTTTTGCCTACGTTGAAGTACGATTGTCGCACCGCTGGTGCAGCGGCTAAACGAGCGAAGACAGCAGCAGTGAATGCCACGAACAAATTACAAAATTGACACGCCGCTTGGCAAAGATTACACCGAAAGAGAAGCCCGAGATCGAGGTTGCGGTCAAGCGCATGGTCGCACGGCCGAGCGAGATGCCTGCTGCGACGGCAGAAAAGATTAGGGAGAGGTATCGATACCCATTTATATAATTTGGGCCACCAATAACTTTGGCATACTGCACCATAGGTCTTTTACGACCCGAATGACCCCCGATGGCGGTGTCATGTACCTCATAGAGGATACGATGCTTCAGCTTCTCGTCGTGAGGAACCACAATACGCGGAGGATCCGCCACATCTGTACAATAGTACAGCAGCCTCTGTATCGATAGAATATCGATGGATGCTCGCACGTAATCGTGCCGACAATTTAATGTCCGAGTCTTTAAACTCCTCACTGCCAAGAGCATGTAGCAACGCTATACAGTGATCATCATTAGCATACGCCGTACGAATGAGATCGGTGATAGAAGACGACAACGTCATAACATGAGCAAGCTCATACTTCAGGTCTGCGTGACAACGCATCAGCCAAAGCATTTTGCTTGCCCGGCTAATATTTCACCTCGAAGTTATATTTGGAAAAGAATGACAGCCATCTGGCCATTCTCTGCGAGAGATGCGGCGACTGAGTCGCAGTGCGTAACGACGCATGATCGGTATAGATCACAAAAGGCTTCGAGCCCAGCAGATGAACTCTGAATTTGACTAGAGCATACTTCATTGCGAGTAGCTCTTTGTCATGAACCGAATAGCTTTTCTCTGCAGCTTTCAGCTAACGAGATTTAAAAGCGATCACACGCTCACGGCCTTCATCATCTGTTTGTAACAGAGCACTGCCAATGGCAAAATCCGACGAGTCACATACGACGCTAAACGGTCGGTCAGGGTCTGGTAAACCAAAATAGGAGCATGAAGAAGGCTTGCCTTCACTGCTTGAAAAGCATCCTCATACAACACCATTCTACATCCTTTTTAAGGAGATTGGATAATGGCCGAGCCATATCAGCGTAATTCTCGCTGTATTTGTGTAATAATTGGCAAGGCCAAGCCATTTACGCAAGTCCTTCTGATACTGTGGAATCGGCCAATCGACTATGGCTTTGACCTTAGCGGGATCCGCTCTTAGGCCTCGCTTCCCAATGGAGCGCTCTATAAATGGAAATTCTTCGGCCCTGAAGATGCTTTTAGATGCATTAGCATATAGCTTATTAGTGTGCATGCACTAGAGAACAGCTCGTAAATGAACAATATGGTTATCGGCATCCAACCGCCCATGTTCAGCTCGACTACGGGTAAAAATGTCTTCAAAGTACGTCTGTGCATAATTTCGTTGGGGTCAAAACAATTGCGTCACCAAACGGTAAAACGTACCCGGAGCATTCGATAGCCCCTGGGAAATCACCAACCACTCCTAGAACATACCTCTCGGAGTACTAACAGCAGTAAGCGGAATATCGCTAGCTCGCATAAGCAATTAATAATAACCATCGACTAAGTCGAGCACACTGTACATGATACATCCGACCATATTGTTCTAAATTAACATCCTTTCTGGGTATTGGCGTCTGCGCAGGGCATTGAACTTATTATAAGCATGAACGATATGCCATTTAACATTCGGTTTCTTAACACAGAAGGTGGGTGTCGAGTGCGGAGATTTGCTCTCGCGCACCATGCCCGCCGCTTGCTTTGCACAAAAGAACTCGTCAATGACGTCACACGGTTCTTTGGGTAAAGGCCACTGCCGTCTTACGCAGTATTTGGTTTCAGGAACCAAGTCAATCTCATGACGCACACCCCTATCAGGGGGTAGAACCGACGGTAGATCATAGCACACCACGTCCTAAAAATCCTTAACTAAAAGATAGTAGGTATCTGAAGGTTTCTTCAAGATAGATGATCCACTACTTGCA